CTCAAAAAAAAAAAAAAAAAAAAAAAAAAAAAAAAAAAAAAAAAGAAAAAAGAAAAGAAAAGAAAAGAAAAAAGAAAGGAAGGAAGAAAAAAAAAGTAGGCAAGCATGATTGTGCATGTCTGTAGTCCCAGCTACTCAGGAGGCTGAAGCAAAAGGATTGTTTGACCCAGGGAAGCAGAAGCTGAAGTGAGCCCAAATCGTGCAACTTGCACTCCAGTCTGGGTAATAGAGCAAGACCCTGTCTCAAAAAAAGAAAATGAACAAAACAAACAAAATAAAAGAGTGCAACCCAAATCTCTGCATCCCACAAATGCACCTGCTCTTGTCACATTCAGCCAGCTTCAGGAACCCTAGGAGACCAGGAACATTTCTGCCAGGAGTCCAGCTGGGGGAGCCTTTGGAGGGGCTGGTCATGGAGGTAGAGGTGAAGAGAAAGGGAAAACCAGACACAGAGAGGTTAAAGATATGCCCCCAACTACATATCTGGGAAGCTGTTGAATTGGGATGTGAGTACTGAGCCACATTCTTAACCAGGTCCACAGCCCGGATCAAATGGACCCTCAAGTCAAGTGCTTGGAAAGCCTCACATAGGTGGCTGGCCAGCATCTGTTACATACTTCTCCTGACAAGAAGCTCACTACATTTCTATTCTAGTGAAGCTCATCTGTGCATGGCTCTGACTGTGTAAAGCTCTTTCTTGGATAGAGGATCCACATGGGCCCTGGCTCTGCCCTCTGGACCCATATTCCTGCTGACCTGGAATATCCCTGCAGAAACCTGAAGACAATGGTGTGTTTCTGAGCCTTCTCTTCACCAACCTGGGTACCCTTCCCTGGTCCCCCCAGGCCCTCTCACCTCCCAGCTGTTTACCTAGCCTAAAAGATCAAGTGCATTGTTGAGACCACAAGAGAGGAAAGGCAGCTTAGGGGATCAGGAAAAAGACTTACGGCACTAATTTAGAGTGTTAGCCTCACCCTTGGCTTTATCCTTGCCTTCCAGACATTAACTTTTATCACTCCCCAAATTTTGATTTAATTACTCCATGTGTTGTCTTCGTTGCTATAAAATACCTCGATTCCATTTGGGGAGTAGAAATAAATAATAAATAAATAAAGGGACCAGCTAAGCCCCCTAAGTTTGGGAGGATGACCACATCTGGGTTCTTTTTCTCTTGTCTGCTTCCAGAACCAATTGTTAATTCTTTTAGTAAGTTTCAGGCCAGTTGACGTCATGATAATATCTTGAAATCAACCATAGTAGCCAAGCATGATGGTTCATGCCTATAATCTCAGCACTTTGGGAGGCTGAGGTGGGTGGATCACCTGAGGCCAGGAGTTCAAGACCAGCCTGGCCAACATGGCAAGACCCCCATCTCTACTAAAAATACAAAAAATTAGCCGGATGTCATGGTGCACACCTGTAACACCAGCTACTTGGGAGGCTGAGGCCAGGGAATCACCTGAACTCAGAATCCGGGAGGTGGAGGTTATAGTGAGCTGAGATCATATCACTGTACTCCAGCCTGGGTGACAGAATGAGACTCTGCTTCAAGAAAAAAAAGAAAAAAGAAATCAACCATAGTGAGGGTCTTTACACCATGAGTATTGGCAAATGCTACCAGTCGGGGCTTTCCCTGCTACGTTTTCTAGCACATAACCAAATATGCCTCTGTTCTTTCTTCTCCCCATGGAGCAGTCAAGTGAGGAAGACTGCCTGATCCTAGAGGCCCTAATTCTCCCAAGACACAGACTAAGGCTCTCATTCTCAGAAGACTTTCGCCTCACCTGACTCTCCCCTGTGCACGTTCTGTCTTACTTTGTAATCTTTTAGGAGCTGCAGAGTTTCGAGAATACATCCATTTAATCAACATAGGTTGAACACCACTCTCTGTCAGGAACCAGGCTTGAAACTTGTGACTGGGAACTTACAGATTGGACAGAGCTCCCATCTCTATCAGTGCCTCCGGAGGACTCACTAGATGGCATACATATAATACATGCTATCTCATTTAACCCTCACAACACCTGGGCCTATTTTACAGATGAGAAAAATGCAGAGCCTGGAGTGCCAATTGAGTCATTTCTATCTGTTTCATTCCAAAGGCCCAGACTTAACATTCCAAAATGACAGTGGTGGTGATTTTTTTCTTTTCTTCTTTGGGCTTCACTATGGCTCTGAGAGGAAGCTGTTTGTTGCTCTATTTGCCAAGGAGGAAAACCTGAAGCTCAGGGAAGTTGACTGGTCCAACTTGCAAGCTTGAATGAAAATGCAGAGCTCCATCTCCTAAATCCAGGTAATGATGCAAAATGAGCCTGCTCCTGGGGTGGAACCTTGAGTTGGGAGCCCTGAGTTCTTGTCTCAGTTCCACTGGGGATGTCAAGGCTGACCTTGGACACGTCACTTCTCATCATCTAAGCCATTGTGTGCTCCTCAGCCCTAATCACTCTGAATCCCAAACCCTGCCACACCATGCCACTTGAGCTTTATTATGGGATGTTTCATGAACATTGCCACTTACTGCAACACAGATGGGACTCTCTATGTCTTTTCCTCATTTGTAAAAACTAAAATAACAATAGTTTCTACTTTACAGGATATTGTGAGGATACAATAATATACTCTCAATGGATCCCTCAAGGATGCTTGATGAATGTAGCCACTAACTCTCTGGAAACATGTCCCCACTGTCTAGCTGGGTGTGGTACTCATGTATGAAGCCCATGTACATTCAAGTATCCACCAATCACCTAAAATGCACACAAGTTCATCCATTCAGTGTTGACATGGACAGATAGTGTGGTGGACTACAGATGGCTACAAATTATTTGTCATGCCTTTCAAGAAATCTATTTCCCATCCTGGCATGGTGGCTAGCACCTGTAATCCCAGCACTTTGGGAGGCCAAGGCGGGCAGATCACAAGGTCAGGAGTTTGAGACCAGCCTGGCCCATATGGTGAAACTCTGTCTCTACTAAAAACACAAAAATTAGCTGGATGTGGTGGTGTGCACCTGTAATCCCAGCCACTTGGGAGGCTGAGGCAGAAGAATCACTTGAACCCAGGAGGTGAAGTTTGCAGTGAGTCAAGATTGTGCCATTGCACTTTAGCCTGGGCAACAAAGTGAGACTCCATCTCACAAAAAAAGAAAAAAATCTATTTTCCCTCCTGTTGAGTCTAGGCTACCCTTATGGCTGCTTACCAAATAGAATGTAATGGAAGGAACAGTGGCCAGTTATAGTCCTGGTCTTTTGAAGACTGGCAGTTTCTGCTTCTCCCTCTTGGAACACTTGCTCTTGGGACACCACTTCTCAGAAACCAGCCATAATGCTCCAAAACATGTACAGAAGCCACATTTAGGCAGTCTGGTTGACAGCCCCTCTAAAGTCCCAGGCAACATCCAACATGAGCTGCCAATCATGTGGATGGGCACCTTGGATATTCCAGCCCACTGGAGCCCCCTGATGCCTGCATCCCCAACCAACATCACATAAATCAGAAGAGCTTCCCAGCTGAGCACAGTCAACTTATAGAATAATGAGATTTAAGATGGTTATTGCTTTAAACCACTAAGTGTTGGGGTAATTTGTTATACAGCAAACCAAAACATATGTTATACCCGTTTATGAAACTATATTTCTTTACTTTTTTCTTTGAAAAAGATTAGACACTCTATACAGAAAACTATAGACAATAACTTGCTGCCTGTTTTCGTACAGCCTGCAAGGTAAGCATGATTTTTACACTATAACATGGTGGAAAAAAATCAAAAGAAGAATATTATTGTATGAGCTATGTGAGAAATTTATATGAAATTCAAATATCAGTATCCACAAATAAAGCTTGATTGGAACACAGGCATACTCATTCAGTTATATCCTGTCCACCGCTGCTTTGTCATGAGAGCAGGAGAGTTCCGTGGTGGTATCAGAGACCATATGGACCACAGCAACTAAGATATTTACTATCTGGCCCTTTCCAGGAAACGTTCACCAACTCCCTTCTGTAGAGCATTAAATATGTATCACCATTTTGAACTTAAAATCCTGCATATAAGAGCTTGTATTTGGCCAGATGTGGTATCTCATGCCTGTAATCCCAGCACTTTGGGAAACTGAGGTGGGCAGATCACGAGATCAGGTGTTTGAGACCAGCCTGGCCAACATGGTGAAACCCCGTCTCTACTAAAAATTAGCTGGGCATGGTGATGGGCACCTGTAGTCCCAGATACTCAGGAGGCTGAAGCAGGAGAATCATTTGAACCCAGGAGGCAAAAGTTGCAGTGTGTTGAGATCGTGCCACTGCACTCCAGGCTAGGCAAGAGAGTGATATTTTATCTCAAAAATAATAATAATTATAATAACTTGTATGTGTCTGAACAATTATTTTTTATTTTTTTTAGTTTAATCATTTTTATTTCAAGTGTATTTTAAATATCATAAATGGGGTTTCATTATCTAAAGTTGAAACATTTATCCTTCATAGCTTCAGAATCTGACAAGGAATTGTAGACCATGCTTTTCAAATCCAGTCTTCTTTGCTATTTTTCAAACTTCTGAGCTCTAGTATTAAACTGCTTCATTCTAAATGTACGGTTTTAGATAACTGTTATACACTTGTTGATAAGGGTTTTCTGAAAACAGTCTATCAAATATAAAGAATGGTTTCTATCTAAGAATCAGCAGTGAGGGAAGAAATATTAGACACCTATCAAAAATCAATTATTCATTTTAAAAATAACAGAACCAGTGCTGCTCTATGTCATAAAAGAGAACATGGAAAATTAATTTTTATAGACTTTGGTAATATTTTATTCCCAACAGAGGCCTTCAATCCTTTTACACACAGTAATCATCAGGACATACTGAGTAAAAATCTCAGGTATTAACCATGGCCCTAAAATATGCTATTCCAAAGAGGAACAGGTTACTTTGGAGAAAAAAAGTTGCCTTGGTGACTTCCCTCAAATGTTTATTTTAAATAAAAATAGTTGATGGAAATATTTTTTAAACCAACTTTGGGTATAATATGGCATGCCGCCCATCAAACAAAAAAGGAAATCAAAACTCTCTTTCCTTTTATAATGAGTTCTCCATCTTTACTTTTAAGATTACAACGTGTTCACCTTTTATGCTTGTTTACTTTTTTTGCCTGTCTAATCCAATATTTAATTTTTTTAAAGTCTACATTTCAATGTAGTAAGAGTTATTTTTCAAATAATCTTGATAACCCAGAATACAGACACCAGAGCAACACTCTCAAGTCACACTGTTTGACTATCATAGGGATGAAAATGGACGGATATCTGAAGATAGGTATTTCCTCTGCTGTCTCTGAAGCTGAGCAAGCTTTTAACACATGAGCAACACAGAACTCCATTCCTCTGGAGCTCCTTTAAACTCAGAATGCTTCAATTCAGTAAGGCAATATATTATTCTTAAAAATTAAAGTTTGGTCACTAAGAAGGACTGAACAAAAATTATTCCCCTCCCATCAAACACAATCAGAAAAGTTCTATAAGGCCCTCTTCTCCCCACAAAAACAGGGAAGTAGCTGGGGCTGAAGACATTAAGTGTCACATTCCAGTTCCTAAAACATCACTGCTATTTGCTCAAAGTTGTAGGTCTATGTATTTCCTTTTCTAATACGTCCCGATTTATAAGTTTATTTCCACACATACAAACGAGCACATCTGTGCACATGCACACGCACACACACTCAATCTCAAGTAAGACACTGTTTTGTATTTGCTGATAAATTATGAGGCTTATGAACTAGGTGTGTACAGGGTTTCATAGGTGCTTTGTAAACATCAGAGTCACTTGGGTCCCTTCCTCCATAAGCCTAAAATCAAATTATGCAACCTATGACCACTACTTTCCCAGACGCTGTTCACAGGCTGCATATTGACGAAGGGTAGAGAAAAAGTCCTCGCAACTGATGTTTAGGTGGGAAGGCAAATAGACAATCTCAGTCAATCTGATGTGCCCGGGAAGAAAGCCTAATGTGCAGTCCACAGGATCAAACTTCAATACTAAATCAGGATTAGGACAACCATTTGAACTAAGTAAACCACCTAACATATCCACATCCAAATCTGTGGGTCTCTTTTGCTTCTGGGCTACTAACTGGCAAAAGTCCTGAGCAGCTCTCACAGTATCTGCTTTTCTATCTTTTGAGGACAGCACCTTCACTGCTAAATGGCAATTTAAAACTTGATCATCTTTGTCATTACTATTTGCAAACTGGTGAATATTTTGAACAATCTAGGCCCAGAAGTTCTTGCTGTTGTTTTAAAATTTCATCCATCGATCTGGAATTATTTCTTTTGAAAATACCTGTAATCCTAGCACTTTGGGAGGCCAAGGCAGGAGGAACACTTGAGGCCAGGAATTACAGGCTAGCCTGGGCAACATAGCAAGACCTTGTCTCTTGGTAGTTGTAGACGTGAATGTAGTAGATGCCCACGGCCATACACCACACCACCAGGCTTGTGATATCTGAGAAGCTGGGCTCCTGCTCCACCTCGGTGAACACCAGGCCCATGTGCACAGGCAGCTTCTCCAGGGAACAGCTGTTGTCGTGCTAGCGCAGCCGGTGGTGGGCGGCTGCTAGGCACGACCCCCGGAGCAGGTGCCTGTGGTAACGGTGGTTCCTGCCAATCGCCAGGGGCTTGTGGAGCGTGAAGCCGAGCAGCACTAGGACTGCGACAGAGGTGGTGTGGTAGGAGCGCCTCCAGATTTAGTTCCAGGTGTGGAATTGAACTCGGAGCCAAGAGGTGAGTGTGCGGTGCAGACAGAGCAGCGTGTGCAGCATCTGCCACACCAACTCGTACAGCCCCATCATACTCTTGTGGCGCTCAGGCACCCTCTCTCCCTCCCGCCCACTCCCGCGGCATGATGGCTTTTTATACACTCCTGTGGCAGGAGTGGGTCATGGCCTGATGCCCAAACCCCTTTCCACTGCCAACACTTCACCTCACCCCCACCACCATCTTTCTCCTCCTGTCTGAACACTTATTTAGGGCTTTTCTACTTATTTATTTTTAATGTTTATAGTGATGTGATCTCACTGTATTACACTGGCTGCAGTCCAATTGTGCATTCATAACTCACTGCAGCCTCCATGTCCTAAGCTCAAGGGATTTTACCACCTCAGCCTCCTGAGTAGCTGGGACTACAGGTGCATGCCACTATGCCCAGCTAAATCTTTTATGTCTTATTTTGCAGACATAGGGTCTTGCTATGTTGTCCAGGTTGGTCTCAAACTCCTGAACTCAAGTAATCCTTCCACCTCGGCTTCCCAAAGTTCTGGATTAGAGACATGAACCACAGTGCCCTGTCTATTTATTTGTAACTCTGAAAGTTTTCAGAAGTATAAGAATGGCCCAACAGTGTGCAAACATAGGAGGAATGGCTAGAAAGCATTCAAAGAGAGATCAAAGGGATACTCTTTGATTATGGGGACCAAGAGAGGACTTTGAAGAAAGAAACTAGGGGGGAAAAAGGGAAAATAGGTAGAGGGAAGATCCAAGATGGCCGTTTAGGAACAGCTCGGAGTTGCAGGTCCCAGTGAAAGCGCAGAGGGTGAGTGGACGCCACATTTTTATTGCCCACAGACCAGGAGATTCCCAGGCGGAGGAGCCCCATGGGTGGCCAGCGCGGCTATTTTGGCCAGCGGGGTTCTGTCAGTTGGCACGGCTGCTTTGCACCACGCGGCTGCTTTGTTGGCGCCCTGGCTGGTGGTTCTCCATACAAAATACACTGGTCTGGGTGCCCTTTTGGCTGGCGATTGGAGCCCCGGGAAGTCAACCATTCATCTGATTAAAGAGGGGACTGAACAGGGAGCCAGGCCAGGAGATTCCTGGGCAAATAAAGCGCCACGAAACTCAGCGCTGCTGTTTAAGCCGGCACAGTGAGTCACCGAACGAGAAATCACACAGATCCCGGTGCCTTTTCAACAGGCGACTGGAATACCTGGGATAGAGTTGACTGTTCAACTAAAAAAGAAAAAAAAGCCTCTGAGGCAGGGAGTCAGGTGATCAGGCTTGGCTGGTCCCACCCCAACAAAAGGACAGCAATCAGAAACTCTCTGGATTGAGAGTTTCACAGCAAGTGCAGCTGAAACCAGGATGGTCCAGCTCTGTGGGGGAGGGGCGTCCGCCATTACCAAGGCATTCCACCACTATAGAGGTAGTCCACCATTGCTGAGGCTGCCTGCCATTGCTGAGGCTGCCTGCCATTGCCAAGGCAACCTGCCAATACAGAGAGAGTCCGCCAATACAGAGGTGGGCCACCATTGCTGAGGCAGTTCTAACTATACCCATATAAACAGGACTACAGGGAAGTTCACATGACAGCTGGGTGGAGCCCACAGCAGCGCAGCAAAGCCTCTTCAGGCAAACAGTGACTAGGCTGCCTCCTTGCTGGGCAGGGCAACCCCGAAAAAAAAAGGCAGCAGCACAATGGAAACTCATAAATAAAACCCTAACTCCCTGGGACACAGCACCTGGGAACAAAAAGCAGTTTATAAATTCTGCTGCAGCAGATCAAATTTGTACCTGCCCAGCAGCTCTGAATGAACAACGGAGCTCACAGCTCAGCATTTGAGCTCTTATAAACAACAGACTGTCTCCTCAAGCAGCTCCCTGACCACTGTATCCAAAAAGTGACCTTATAAAGGAGAGATCAGGCTGACACTTGGCAGGTATCCTTCTGGGACAAAGATAGCAGAAGAAGAAACTGGTAGCAACCCTTACTGTTCTGCAGCTCCTGCAGGTGATTCCCAGGCAAGCAGGTCCTGGAGTGGACCTCAGCAGTCCTACAGCACAGGAGCCAGCCTGTTAGAAGGAAAACCAAGGAACAGAAATAACTTCATTATCAACAAACAGAATGTACACTCAGAGACCCAATCTGAAAGTCAGCAACTACAAAGATGACAGGTAGATAAATCCATAAAGATGGGCAGAAACCAGCGCAAAAAGGATGAAAATACCCGAAACCAGAACACCTCTCCTCCTACAAGGGATCACAACTCCTCACCAGCAAGAGAACCAGGTTGGATGGAGAATGAGTGTGATGAAATGACAGAATCAGGCTTTGGAAGGTGGGTAGAAAGAAACTTCTGTGAGCTAAAAGAACATGTTCTAACCCAATGCAAAGAAACTAAGAACCTTGAAAAAAGATTTGATGACATGCTAATGAGAATGGAAAACTTAGAAAGGAATATAAGTGAATTGATGGA